ACGGTCAGCCATGTGAGAGTCCAGTGCCCTTAACCACCACACTGCCTACCATCCAAAGGATCTTGAAACAGAAATTACACTCTGCTAGGGACCTGGCAGGTGGTGTGGTGGTTAAATGCATTGGACTCCCACATGGCTGACTGTGGTTTGAGTCCTGGACCTAGCGGCTTGCTTTCTTAGTTTCCCTCTCTCACTCTCTCTCTCTCTCTGTCTCTCTCTAGTCAAATTTAAAAATGGATGAATAAATAAAGTTAAATAAAAAATAATTCTTTAAAAAAAGAAATTACACTCTGCTTAGTTTTAGTGCTGAGTATATTTAATTGTAGTTTTTTTATTTTCTTAAACTATTCATCATAGAAAGTATTTGTGAGAAATCCCTGTTTACTAGAATAATGCATTAATCAAAGCAACCCATCTCTGAAACCTAGCAGATAATGGGCATGTTTGTTGTGTTGGATCGTTGGGAATGTCATGACACATTTTTGCATAGAAAAACATAGAAAAACACTGTGACTTTTCTGACGACCTAATATTTGTTATGGGAACCTTCCCACATCACAAACACTTCACTTCTCTCCAGATAAGTTTTCTACTTCCTTTTACAAAGACCAAGAGTCCATGACTTCAAAGCCATTTTTCATCATAAGCCAGTTTCTAAATGCGTTGGCTTTACCTGTACAAGGGATGGGGATTTTCTTTTCTCAGCGCAGAAAGTGAATAAAGACCCTCAAATCGAGTTTGAATCAGCAGTCTACCACAACACAGAAACATTAACCAGGGCAGAGTAAAGCCACACCCATGTCCAGAGTGCGGGCGCGCCAGGGCACACTCCTCCACCCGCTCTGCCTTTCTGCTTCTCCAGGTGGCCTTGAGGAAGCCCAGAAAACACCTGGACCTGAGATATCACAGGAAGGAGTGAGGTGACACACCTACAGGGACATAGGGTTATGGTCAGGTGGCTCGGATACAGCTTCTGATGCAGACGTTTGCCTTTGCCCTGTGTCTAGAGAATCGATCCTTTTTCCTTCTCAAAGAATTACAGGCCGTTTGCAGGATTAAACATTTAAGTGGTCGCATCTGCCACATACAGATGCCTTTTTTTCCACTAAGAATCTAGAAGACATCATACATAAATATACCATAAATCCTCTTTTAAAGAATCATTTTATTTCATTTATCATCATCATTATTATCTGTTTAATTTGACCAGAGAGAAAAGGAAAAAAGGAAAGCAAGCTTCCATGGCTGGGACTTGAACTATGGCCGACCATGTGGGAGTCCAGCACCTTAACCACCACGCCACCTGCCAACCCCAAAATCTTATGGTGTAAGAATATAGATAAGACCAATTTAGTTCCCCATTGTCCACAGTATATGGGGAAGAGGGCGCGGGGTGGAAGGTGTGGAACATCGATAACCTCAGCAACCAAAACTTCGACGGAAATGCTTAACAAGTGGCCAGCAGCCCTGAGTTCCAACCCCTTCGTCAGTTCCTGCATGAATTCCACCCATTGGCCAAAGAGAACAAAGATTGGAAATGCAAATGCCTCTGGATGATCATCCTCAATGGACACAATGGTCCCAAAATAAATGTCTATACCCCAAATTTAAAAAGCAGCTCTTGGGACTGAGATGACCCAAGATTTTATGACGGGTATCAGGAATCTCACCAAAGTAATCTGGGCCAATGTTTTGTGATCTTTCCACAATGCATAGAAAGATGGCTCTATAGATAGGCAAATTAGATGTTATTACAAAAGATTTCTTAGCTCGTATGCCCCTCTCTCCCCTTTTGCTGTCACGCACTTGTAATACACACTGCAGCCCTGTCCAGGCTGAAGGTCTGAGGCTGACTTGACGCTATTGCTATGTTCTTCTTCCTCTCCTCTTTTTTCCTCACAAAATGAAGGCTCACGAAGATTTTATATTTAGTATATAACCTGTTAGGGTCAAACCACGTGGAAAACTAAAAGCATTTAGGCAACATGCAAACACTGGAAAGGCATGGCTATTCCCGTGGCTCTTTCCAGAAAGAAAAGTCAATGTAACTCTCTGGACCATCAACAGGCAAAGCTACTGTCATAGCAGATGCCTTCTTACTGTACCCTAGCAGGGCAGAAGGCTCGCATGGGTAAGAGAGTAAGACAGAGAGACAGAGAAGGGAGCCAAACTGATCCTCTTATCAGCAGGCCACCTCAGGGATCGCTAAATCACTCCTGCGGCAGCAAAGGGGTGATTTGATGGCCCATTTCTGAGGGCAGGCCCCTCGTGACCTATCACTCCTTAATACCACTGCAATGGCAAATTTCAGCATGAGTTTGGGGAGAAGCATTCAAACCATGGCAGTTGTATTTTCAGCATAAACATAGATCCGGCATATGGAAAACTCTTCGTAAATAATCCTTTCTCTGTATTTCCACAGTCTTTTTTTTTTTTTTAAGAGAGAGCTTTTTGCTATAGGGTTTATGTACTTGCCAGGGAAACAGAGACAGAAAGACAGAAAGTGAGAAATCATCCCCCAGGAGGGGGCAGCCACACTGCAATTCTTTCTCCTCCATTTTCCTCTTGGGATTTTGGGCATGCGCACACACAAACGTCTGGTGTGAGTTTTAAGCTGCCCAGTCTGGGACTTGAACCACAGTTGACTAGGGGGATGTCCAGTGACATGAGCATTATGCCATCTTCTGGTCCCGTATATTCATAGTCTTAACACACCTGTCTCCTCACCTCACTGTGCTGGAATCATTTTTCAGTGCCTCTCTCCCACACACCTTTACACCTCCTTCTCCAGGAGAATTATGAACTCGTGAAGGCAGGAATTATGCTCTTATCACCTATTAGGTGCTCCACAAATACTCGGCAAATGTAGATAAAATGTAAATATATTCCCTAATCTCCAGATGTTCAAAATCTTAAACAAAATTAAGACACCATTTACAGGTCAGCAGATGGCATGGAAGTTAAGGCAGCTGGATCTCACAGAGCCATCTATGCTGTTTGAGTCCCTGACCCAGAGACTTGAAAATCATGCCAGGTGCATGTGTGTGCATGCCCAAGAGGAGAATGGAGGAGAAGGGACTGTGACATGGCCATTGTCCCTGGGAGGGTGACTTCTCGCTTTCTCTCTCTGTCTCTCTCAGGCAAGTGCACATACCCTACAGCGAAACTTTAAAAAGTAACTGTGACATGGCCATTGTCCCTGGGAGGGTGACTTCTCGCTTTCTCTCTCTTTCTGTCTCTCTCAGGCAAAGTGCACATACCCTACAGCGAAACTTAAAAAAGTAAATAAATAACACCAGATTTTACTTAAAAAAACATACAATTTATGTAAATACTATATGGCAAAAGCTGTGAAGTACCCACATGGTATCGTGAGAATTGTGATGAAGGACTTCCTGCTGGAATCTTCCTATAGGTTATATTTGAGCTGTCCCTTGAAGAATAAGTTCACCAGGAAAATCGCATAAAGGGGATTCTAAGCTGGAGGAATTCAGCACGGAGCCAGCAGCAGAGAGGGGAGGGACAAGAGGGTTCCCGGCAGGGAGAAGACGTGGTGGCTGGAAAGTGTGCTGGGCCTGGCAGCCCCCTAGCCTGGTCCTCACGGGAGCAAGATGACAGAATCAGATCTGTGTCCCACGCAGCTCTCAACGCCTCCTTCTGCCTCAGCTCTCCCCAGCACAGCATGCCAACCATGCAAGCGAGTTGCCCAGAAGAAGGTCTGACGTGGACAGAGGCCAGACAAACCCTCATGAGAATCAACTCGAGACCCAGGACTGTGTTCTAAGCAGCAAGCCAACGGCAGGACTAGTGCTATGTAAATCTCTCACGGAACAGGAGTCAAGAATGCGGTAGAACTAACAAAGCTGGTTCCTTAGGAAAGCCAGTATCATTCATGTAAAGATTCCCGTCTCCAGGAAGCCCGCCCTGATCGGATTTTTCCAGACCAACAGGATGGCTCTCTTTCTTTCTCTCCCCCTCGCTCTTGGAATCCTTCAGAGCACTTTATTTTGTACTTAGGACACTGTGAACCTTTTTTCTGCATTGCAGTTGTTTGTCCTCATTCCTGGTATCACCTGCTTTTTCTCTTTGCTTCATTTTATAACCTTACAGCTAATAAAAGACAGTTTTAAAAGACACGTTGGGGGCAAGATAGAATATACAGCAATTAAGAATAAATACTGTTAGATTTTTAAGTTTGAGATGGGAGAGGATGAGGCCAGCAGGCAGTGTGCATAAGACGCTGGACTCCCAAGTGGCCGAACACAGCTTGAGGCCCGGACCTGGCAGCTTGAAAATCATGCCAAGCACATGTGTGTCCATGCCCACGATCCCAGGAGGAGAACGGAAAAGGGACTGTGGTGTGGCCACCCCCCCCCAAGGGGGGGAAGTGATTTCTCACTTTCTGTCTCACTATCTCTCTGTCTCTTTCCTCTCTGGTGAACACATATGCCCCACAGCAAAAACTAAAATACAAAGGCAAGGGTAGGGACATATAAAACCCCCACAGCACTAGAAGCTGGCAGATGGCATGGTAGTTAAGGTGCTGGACTCCCACATGGCTGACCACAGTTCAAGTCCTGGACCTGGTAGCTTGCTTTCTTAGTTTTGCTTTCTCTCTCTCTGGTCAAATTAAAAATAATAATAATAATAACAACAAAAATAAAGAAATAATTCTTACTTTAAAAATTTCACAGCATTGCAAAACATGTTTGTTGAATCAATCGATGTATTGATAGCAACAATAATAAAGTGAAAATATTTATTGGCTTTTAAGAGAAGTTGACATTTACTAGAGTTTTTGCACAGATGTTTATCTTGTATTCTTTTACATTTTCCTCTCTCTACACCATGCCCCAGTCAGCTGTGGTTATCTCACTTTTTCTTGATTTGATTTTGCCAAAGTTTCTTCTCTACATAGGAATTTGTTCTTTTTTTTTTCCAGAAAAATAAAGCCCTTAATTTATCATTTGAATCAATCGATGTATTGATAGCAACAATAATAAAGTGAAAATATTTATTGGCTTTTAAGAGAAGTTGACATTTACTAGAGTTTTTGCACAGATGTTTATCTTGTATTCTTTTACATTTTCCTCTCTCTACACCATGCCCCAGTCAGCTGTGGTTATCTCACTTTTTCTTGATTTGATTTTGCCAAAGTTTCTTCTCTACATAGGAATTTGTTCTTTTTTTTTCCAGAAAAATAAAGCCCTTAATTTATCATGTCTATTTTTTTGTTTGTTGGTTTCTAGTACAACAGTGATGTGTTTATGTCAACAAAATTATAAAATAAAAATACAATGAAACAAAAAACTCTTGAGGCACAACGTTGTAAAGAAGAACATTAATTGTCATGAGTATAATAAATTATAAAGATCTGTTGATATTTCAGTGGAGAACAATAACCCCCCCCACCAAAAAAACCCACAGAAATACTTCTAAAATACAGCATCATTGCCACCACACATGAAAACATTTCCATAAAAAAATGAACAGTTTCCACGTGAACATTGAACTTTCCGGCCCTTTTTCAGTGTACACTCTGAAAGCTTGTCCTATTGCAGGTCACAGACAAGCCGTTCTCTCATTCCATTGGTCCCTTCACAAGCAACTTCCTGTTAGACATACAGTACTTCGAGGCTAATATTTAATCTTAATTGGCAACAAGTTTAGTGCAAATAAAATTATATGTAGCAGCTTAGAAAAGTCCTGGTGGGGAGGCATTCTCCTCTTAACCCTTAGCATTCCCAAGAGTAGACTCATTTCTCTCCCTCTCATGAGTATAACCATTGGCTCTTCAAATCTATTGGACATTAGAAATGATAGTTCAGGTGCTTGTTCCACAGGGATTTTTCCATGAAAGATAGTTTCAGTCACCATGTAAATGAGCCACGTGGTTTTTACATTTGGAAAGTTCCCGTTAGGTTGATAGAAAAAAGCAGCGCCTGAATGCCAGTCCTTCTCTGGCAAGTGCAGTCCAGGTTGTAACTGGATCTTACCCCCCTACTCCTCTGATCAGAGAAGAGGCCTAAAGGAAGGGAAGTATACATCATGCCATGCCTTAGCCACCATGGGTGTGACTCCAAAGGCTTGGGGACAGGGCTGAAATCTCTTAAGTCAAAGTATATTCCCCAGTAATCATTTCATTTCATTGATCGGAATGTGAAAGGAAGAAAGAAAGAAGAAAGAGAGGGAGGGAGGGTGAGGAAGAGAGAAGGAGGGAGGAAGGAAGGAAAGAAGAAAGACAAAGAAAAAAGAAAAAGAAAAGCCATCAGATTTCAAACATGGCGCTTCCCACTCCCAGCCGAGATGTATTTTCTGAATGAATAGAAGTCAGAGACCTACTAGTTCAGGAGGATTTTGTCTGAGTTTTGTCACTTCCTTAAATTGCCTCTCTTTTTTGCAGGACATCTGTTCCCTCTCTAGCCAAGGCCTGGGATTGCTGCTTCAGAAAACTATGTGGCTTACTGTGCTCAGATCCATAGTGACTCGGAAAAAGGAAGAATAATACCTCCTAGGTTTTGAACACCTGAGTCTGCTCCTTGCCTAGGTTTCATCAGTCCAAGAACTTGAGCCTTCAGAAAGCTTGGATGGCCCCTGAGGTCCAGGATATGCTGACATAAAACCCAGGGAAGGAAATACTAGGTGGGCCATCGCACTTGACCTCTTTCTTTGCCAATCCCTCAGCAATTTTCCATTTGCCTTGACTTCTTTCCACTAAGTGGCTCAAGGATGGGATGTGGTGGTTACAACCCTGGGGAGAGAGAGGCCCGCCTCAGTCACTAGACTCTTCTTTTTCCCTCGGGGTGGGGAACTTCTCATACTGGTTGGCCCATTTCCATTTGTTGTGCTGATTTTTGAATAGTGCAGCAAGGGAAGTCTTCCGGGTGACATTTCTAGAGACTTCCCTGCTCTTGGCCTTCCTGGTGGGGGAAGAGCTTTGGACTAAGGGATAGACAGGGAAAATGGGTTTGCCCCGAGGGGCCCCTAAGAGCTGCCATATTTCCCCGGAGGTACTACTGGTCAGATACTGCCACGGCTTCTTCCCACTGCTGTCCCGGACGTTCACCCGAGAAGCCAAACTTTGCACGAGCAGTTTCATGACCGCCTGGTGACCGTGCATGGCTGCCAGGTGCAGCGGGGTATAACCACAACTGGACCTCACGTTGACATCGAGCGCAATCCCTGCCTTCCGGGCCCCTGAGACCAAGTTCTGAAGGGCCCCAAGGTTGCCGTGTTTGGCTATCCAGTGCAAGGCCGTGTATCCAGTCAAGAAGTCTCTGTGCAAAGCCAGCTGAGGGTCTTCCCAGAACAAAGTGAACACCCGAAACCAGGAGCCACTGGCAAGCTTCACAATCCACTCGTGCTCCCTGGCATCCAGAGGGACCAAGGCTGACTTGTGCTCGGGTCTGTGGGGGACGAAGGCTGCAGACCCCTCCTTGCTGGGAGCCCACGAATTGTGGGGCCAAGCTCTGTCTCCCACTGCGGCCTTCACATCTGCAGGTGTGGAGGTCAGAGCTGCATCCACCCTTGGGCTGGACACCATCCCTGCCTTGGAGGGTTTCCTGGGTCTGGGTGGGCGCCGGCTCCTTTTCAGCAAGTTCCCGTCACAGGACTCCTCATCAGAGGAGGACAGTTTGGCTCTCCCTGTCTGAGAGCTCCTCCTGAGGGATCTTCTTAATTTGGGAGCTGGCCAGGGTGAAGGCTCCTGGACGCGGTCTGCAAGTCCATTAGCCCCTGTTGGGACCTGCAGAGAAGTGTGACTGTCCTTTCTGCTCCTGAGGCCCCGAGGGCTCTGGCTGGAGGTGCCCTCCTTTGGCGATGCAGGAAGGGTCCCAGCTGGGTTTCTGAGCGGTCCCCAGTCTGTGGTGCCCGCGGCAGCCTGCAGCCCCTCCTCAGAGCCCCCAGGTGACTCTCTGGGCCCACTGCTGCTCTCCTCACTGCCATGGCTCTCCTCGTCCACAAAGTCATCCAGGCTTTGGAGGGACAGCTGACAGCGGATGCTCCGAAAGACTGTCGGTGGAGGTTTCTCCAGGCAGGATTCAGAGGACCCATCGGGAGCAGGAAAGAGAGAACGAGAGGAAAGCGCAGAATCTGGCGGCTCAGAGATAGGCTCCGAGGGCGGCTGCAGAAAGTTGTCTGGCAGAACCGACCACGCCCGGCTGGGGCCCTGGTTTCGGGCCTCGGGCAGCTGCGGGTGTCTGGCCACCCATTCCCGAGTGCGCTGCTGCTGCTGCAGGGTCGAGTAGTGCAGGGCGCCCGGGGTCACCGGCCCTCGCGGGTCTTCTGAGGGGTGGGGGAGCGGCAGCAGAGCAGGCGGGGAAGCTCCGCTTCCAGGAGCCGCGATGGTGGCAGGAGTCGAGGGGGTCAATGCGGGCGCAGGCGCGGGCTCA